ACACACATATATATATGCATATATATATATATATATATATATATATATATATATATATATATATATATACACACACACACACACACACACACACACACACAACACACGCACACGCACACGCACACGCACACGCACACGCACACGCACACGCACACGCACACGCACACGCACACGCACACGCACACGCACACGCACACGCACACACACACACACACACACACACACACACACACACACACACACACACACATATATATATATATATATATATATATATATATATATATATGTATGTACATATATATACATTTATATATACACACACACACACACATATATATATATATATATATATATATATATATATATATATATATATATATATATATATATATATATATACATATATATATACATATATATATATATATATATATATATATATATATATATATATATATATATATATATATACATATATATATATATATATATATATATATATATATATATATATATATATATATATATATATATATATATATATATATATATATATATATATATATATATATATATATATATACCATACATACATATACTGTATATATACATAAATACATGTATAGATATATACATACATATGTGTGTCATACATCCACATAAGGTAAGGTTGTATTTCATAAAGGTTGTCTGTTTAACCTTGACCGATTTCGCCGATTTTTCTTGAGGAAGAGAAGACGCTGAAACAAGAGAGAAGCGGAAGCGCAAATAAAGAGTGTACAAAAGAAACAAAAAGCATAATATTTCTAATACCCTATAAAAGAAGAAAGACGAAGGATAAAAAGCATAATAGATTTTGCTTGCAATTTGCTGTGAACGATTGATAAAGGATGAAAGAAAATACTTTTTTAAAAAGATGAGAAAGAAAATGTCGGTCTTTATACTCGATTTAAGTGTACATGTATGTATGAATGTATGTGCGTGTAAATCTGTGTCTGTATACATGTGAGGCTGTGTATGTATTTATGTGTGCCTGTGTCTATATCTACTAGTGGGTGTGTCTGTATTTATATGTGACTGAGTCTGTTTATGTCTGTTTATGTGTGTGTGTGTGTTTGTGTGTGTATACATGTTTCTGAGCCGTGTCCGTTTCCTTTTACGTGACTACAAGTGGCTCTGACCACGACCACGTCTCCGCAACGCCGCATGAGCTCATTGACCGTGACCTCGGCTTGCGTAGAGCCTCACGATTCCGCCCACACACACGGACATTTCTCCGCCTGTTGCAGTTAATTCACGTGTTGCATTTTTACGCATGAGTCAAGCAACATTTATATATATATAAAGGTTTATTTGAAGGCTACAAATTTTGGTATGAGTTTTGTTTTTAAAAGGTTTAATGTGAAGGGAATGGGATGAGGTACACATTCGAAAAAGTTTTTTTATTTATTTATTTTATTATTTTTATTTTTTTTTATTTATTATTTTTTTTTATTTATTTTTTTTACATATCATTATTATGTTTATTATCATCATCATCATCGGCCTTGGTTTCATTATTCTAATGGTACTATTGATGGAAGCTGATTGAAAATAGATATTAAATTCTAAGAGCGGCGAGCACACCCGATGGTAAATACATGCATATTTCTTCATAATCTACACTATACATTTTATGTATCTATATTTCTTGATATTTCGCACTGTATTCTTATGAGTATCATGTACAGCATCGAGCCAAAAAAAAAAAAAAACATGAATATAAACAGCGACTAGGTTTTCCTTTTTATTTCCATTAGTTTCCTTTTTATATATATATATATCAATACCAACAGTTATTGGTTACTGCAATTTTTTATACTGATTCTGTTTCAAAATGGGTCTAAAGAAGCCAAAACTCGGTCGTATGTTGAGGGTCGAGTTAAATGAACCTGATTATAATATTTATTTAACTCCATCGGTCTTATGATCATGAAATGTATATAGATATTAAATCCTTCTTGTGTATAAGTATTTGCTGTATGAAATTACCACTTTTCCACCCAGTAAAAAAAAAAAAGAAAAAAGAAAAAAAAATAGCAAGAACTTTGATAATTTCTTAATCAAGGGAAATATAACTTGAAAAAAGAAACAAAAATTGAACCAGAATAGGTAGAATAATAGAACAATATTTTTTTCTATCTTTTGATATATGTGTGCACATTTTCGTATACATGTGTGCGTGTGTGTGCATTTGGCTTTGCGATTTCGTTGGACAGACTGACAATAGAAAAATAATCCAACTATATATTATGCACTTTTTAATTATCAAATTATTTACATATGTGACAATAAAAATATATAATCCAACTAGATATAAGTGTGTTTCTTAAATATCAAATTATTTACATATCTGACAATAAACAATACAATCCAACCATATATATGTGTATTTTTCTAACTATTAGATTACTTACATATCTGACAATAGAAAAATATAATCCATCTACACATCTAC